TTGTTGGAGAGCGAACCAGTTGGGACCAATTAGAAAAATTGATAATATCTTGAAAGGGCTGGAATCTGGGTGGGCAGCTATTGGAAACCCAGTCAATTTCAGGAAGGTTAAAATCCCCAGTGATTATTTTAACATCGAAAGAGCTTCCGAAATTAATTTAAAGATTTCACAGAGTTGTGAATCATCACTGGCTAAAGAATTTGGGGGATTGTAGATACAGCCAATAATTGCCTTTCTTTGCGGCGAGAGAATAACAGATGCAAAGCAGAAGTTTCCCGTGAATGAGGAAACATCCAAGTAATAGGGAGAGTGCTCTAGGTAGGATTTAAGATAAAGAAGACAACCACCCCCACGCCTAGTCGTGCGGTCTTCGCGGTAAAAATCGAAGTCATCTACGAGAAGGGCAGAGTCAGGAATTAGAGAATGTGTCCAAGATTCTGTTACACATATAATATCAGGCGTCATTTCCAGAGCAATGGCTCTGATTTGGGCCATCTTGTTTATAACAGACCTGGCATTCAATAATATAATATCTAATGTGTTTCCAACGGTAATGCTATTTTCGACGGTATTTAAAAAAAATTTGGAGGCGGATATGTAAGCTGCGAATTAATGACACTTGGAGAATAAGTACCAGTTAATTTAGAGTTATTGACGTACGGGGAGTCAGCAAGAGAAGGCTGAGTATGAGACCTAAAGGAGGTGGGGACATAGTTTTCAAACATTCGAATGCTAGGGGAGTTAGAACATGGATAGACTTGTTGGTAGTTAAATAATGGGGGAAGGGGAGGAGGAGGAGGGAGGCTAGAAGGAAAGTAGGGGCTAATGGGTAAGGGTAGGCCACTAAAAGAATGAAATGGTGGGAAACCAGGTCTAGATTGGAAGTCAAAGGAGATAGGTTGACGTACCTGACAGCAATTGGCCTTAAGTGGTGGGAAGCCTGAACTAGGTTGGGGCATAAATGATTTAGGGCAATTCATGTATGAATTAGTTGCTGGATATATAGTAGGGCTTTGATAAGTAACCGGTACGCAGGACAGAGAATTATTCGAGGATATAATTGGAGCTGCGGGGTTTGTAGACGTGCTGGGCTGAACAGACTTGTTAGATCTAAGAGAAGACGTCATACCCCTAAACGGAACTGTACTACCTATCTTTTGGGTCGGAGTCTGATTCAATTTTCGAGTCTCACCGTTCTGACGCCAAGCCACTGGTGACTTAGCTGTAGACCTTACAGCACCCAGTTAGACAATAGAAGTTATCGGTCTAGCTGATGTAGACGGATTTTCATGTGTCTCGGCGGGACTATCCGGAGGATACGAAACGACAAATGGGGCTGCTGCTGCTGCTGCTGCTGCTGCTGCTGCTGCTGCTGCTGCTGCTGCTGCAAGTTTAGGGGCAGGCAAATGCGTCAAGTGGCTTGAGTGAGATGGAGACGTAGGAGAAGGAGGAAGGAGGGAGTCAGATGTCGCAGGAGTACGAGAAGATGAATCCTTACGGCCACTTGTATTATGACCGAGTTGGGGAGCATTAGACTGAGAAGCAGTAGGTTTACGTGAGAATAGAGACCCGATTCTACGCTCCATAGGAGTAAGATCATGACAAAGGAAAAATTTTGCCTTCTCTAGGTACGCAGTGACACGCTCTCGATGAGTAAAGATTGTGTCAACTTCGATTGATGAAAACAATTTGACTAAGATGGGTGGATTTGTACTACGGGAGGACAAGCGTTTGGCATCAGCTATTTTATAGTTGAAACCACATGATTACAGGAAACTGGTCGCAACATCAATTGGCCGAGCAGATCGAGAAACATTTTTTAGCAGGAAGTTGTAAGAACGCTTCTGTCTATCAGTAGATTCACTCCGAGAAAGCGTCCTCGTCAAAGTCCATAAACGCACGCTTGATTGCGCACAGTACGGACACTGTGCCTTTTGCCACTCTAGAACAATGGGCGGATGGCTTTAGGGGACTCGTAGTCATCACACCGAGGTCCTTTTGGGCTTCGACCTCTTGTAGGGCTGCACCGTCCAGAAAGTAGTCTCTTGTGCTGCCGGATCTGGCTGTGATGCCACGGCGAAGTATGTTACATTTGCGAACGTTGAAACGCAGGAGCCAACGGTTTGACCACTCCTCCAACCGATTCAGGCTCATCGGCAGTCTGTCTTCGTCGGGCAGAACCCCGAATCACACTCCATATCTTCATGTCATCGGCAGTTCGGGTTGTCTTTTATGAGGTGATCAACCAGTTGTGTCTTGAACACATTCACGGTAGGGGAATTAGCAACAGGCTTCGGCAAAGAATTCCAGTGACGAGTGACCCTCTGTCAGAAAAAGGAGGAACGTTGATTTGTGTGGCACAGTTCCTTTCTAAGCTGGTAATCGCGCCGTCTGAGATTAGACTTCGGTGCCATTTCAAAAAGCGTTTCACAGTCGACATCCAGACTAGGTCCTCATAGCAATTGAAACGTTGCGATCAGGTCACCTGTGTCCTGCCTGTAGTGGAGGGAATAGGGGTTCAAGGTCGTCAGGCTATGCCCGTACGTAAAATTTTTACGGTCATGAGCAGCCTTTGCAACACGTCGTTGTGCATCCTCAAGGAGGTTTATATCCTTTCGAAGCCACGGCCGCCAAGCCTGTACCGCATATTCCAGGTGCGGCTGCACAAATGCCCCATATACCTTGCCAAGGACATACAGTTGATGTGCTAACTCATGAAATGTCAACCAAAATTTCGAAGTGCGTTCTCTTTTCGAAAAGATAAATTAAGCAGTGTTGTAAAACTAATCATGATGCAGCATAAATCTATAATGATTCAGTTACCTCAGGGTGTCAGCTTTTGAGAGGACTTATTTTCGGCTGCATGCAATATATATACTCTGCAAAAAACGACTACTTATGTAGCATAAACATTTTCTCATTGATTTTCGATGCCCTTGAAAATTCAATTATATTTCATGGAAAACATGCATAAAAATATTCATTCCTTAACTTATTCGGTAGAAAATCACGTCCTCTTCTAATTTCATACTAAAAAGAAGGGCATAATTCGGTTTTAAAAAAGTTTCTAATTGTGAGGTTTTTAATACCGTTAAATGGCCGTTCATGAGACGCCATGTATCTGCATTTACGAATTTGGCTTGTAAAGTCAACAATATTGCTCAAATCCACGGGTTAATTTTATGAACCTCATATGGTCTCGTCTTAACACCGTAGATAAATGCATGGTCTTCCGTACACGGGAAATATACAACTTGTAGGTTTGAAACCCTGAATGCAAGTGTCACAGCAGGTAGAGTTCAAAATTATTTGGGAATAAGAAGAGTTTTTTAAAACCGAATTATGTCCTTCTTTTTAGTATGAAATTGGAAGAGGACGTGATTTTCTACCGAATAAGTTAAGGAATGAATATTTTTATGCATGTTTTCCATGAAATATAATTGAATTTTCAAGGGCATCGAAAATCAATGAGAAAATGTTTATGCTACATAAGTAGTCATTTTTTGCAGAGTATATATATTGCATGCAGCCGAAAATAAGTTCTCTCAAAAGCTGACACCCTGAGGTAACTGAATCATTACAGATTTATGCTGCATCATGATTAGTTTTACAACACTGCTTAATTTATCTTTTCGAAAAGAGAACGCACTTCAAAATTTTGGTTGGCATTTCATGAGTTAGCACATCTACTGTATGTATTCAAGTTAACAAAGGTTCTGCGTATCGCGCGCATGACTGACACTGCTCGCACTGCGACTTTAGAGCACTACGTGGTGACGCTTACATCGTCTTTAATGAATACGCCGAGATTTTTTCGCATATCTATGGTCTAAAGTTGTTGATTGTCCAGGAGACACTGTCGTGAGGTGCTTTTGTTCTTCGTCCTGCTGAAACTACGTGCATTATTACACATTTGTGGCGTTGAAATTCATGTACCATTTCTCGCTCCATCCGTTCATATTCTCTACGTCCGCTTGTAGTCTCTTGACGACATCTTCATCTTTTGTCACTATCCAAAGTTTAAGATCGTCTGCAAAGAGCGCTATGTCCGATTTCACTTCTCGTACTGGATAATTTACATAGATACTGAATAGGAACGGCCCAAGAACGGACCTTTGTGGGATCCTACTTTTAACGGGTGCGCACTCTGAGCAGTAGCCACCGGCAGTTACTTGTTGTCTACGACCGTTTAGGAAGTCTTGAGTCCAGTTCTAAAGATCCCCTCTTATGCCTACTCCTGACAACTTTTGAACGAGACGCATATGTGGGACGAAATCAAACGCCTTTCTGAAGTCATAGTAAATGACATCAACTGGATGTCCTTCGTCCATGGTCCTGTACCAATGTTCGGGCGACGTAAGCATGTTTGTGTGGCATGACCTCTTTCCACAAAAGCCATGTTGAACTGAACTGATGTAACAGCGGAATGGATCGAGCGATGCGATTGGTTTTTCAACTAACTTTTCCATCGGATTGCAGCAAATGCATGTCAAACTCACCGGCTGGTAGTTGGTAGGATATAGCCGTGATCTGCCCTTGTGGATGGATGCGGCGTTTGTCAGTATCCATGTGACGGGAAGTTTGCCAGCTTCCAGCTATTTTTTTGGAAGATTATACAGAGTAGTTCTGCTAATTCTTCAGCTAGTTGACGTAGGAGTACACGTGCGACCTCATCTGGTCCAGGTGACTTGGCCGGATCCAGCTTATATAACTCCGCGAAAACTAGCTGCGGTGTAAACAATACTGTGTTTTTAAGTGATTGGTTGGCGAGCTGTGACAGAGAACAGAACTGGGGAGTGGTGGTTAAGCGGTATAGACACTTTGGAAAGACTCTGAAAGAAGCTCGGTTTTTTGAAAGTCACCAATCACAATTTGGTTATCTTTGTCCTTTAAGGTTGTGAGATGGTCTTGGTTTTTTGTACTGCTCCTGATGTATGCATAGAACGCTCTAGGTTTTTGCTGTGCCTCTCCCAGGAACTTCAGTTCATAAGAAGCACCTACTTCATGGATGAGTATTTTGCATAAGTTTCGCTGTTGTCTAAATTGTTGAAGTTTTTCTGGGCTCCCGTTTGTAAGAAGATTTTCCACCACTTGCGTTTTTTTCGGATTCCATTCTTAACCGATGTTGTCAGTCATTTCGGTTTGTTTCCGGCCTGATGTTTATTAAGACGACAGTATCGTTCAATGAAGTCTCTCATAGTTGAGTCGAAGGTTGTTCAGCATTCTTCGACATCTCATTGCAATGCTTCCGGCCTTAGTGTGTGTCCAGTTTCCGATTTAATTGCCTCAAAGTTACCCTGCCAAATATTTCTTAACGAGTTTGATCTTCTTTCGGGGACAGTTACGAGTGTTGACTGCCAAATTAATGTCATGTGACCGCAAGAACCTAGCAGCGGGCCTGCATTTATTTCATAGTTCTTGGTGAACAATAGGTCTAGGAAACTAGCCCTCCGACAGTCACGCATCCGGGTCAGTGTTCGTACATGCTAAAACAGAAATTAATCATGTGCCATGGCTAATAGCATTTGGTCGAAATTTCGTGTGTGGCCCTTAAATGTCACAGGGTTCCCGTTAATCCACTGAACACTGAAATCTCCTGCAATAATAATGCTTTGCTTCCGCCGTCCTCGCGGAGTCATGATATGATGATAACATGATAATTTTATTTAATGCCAGTTTACAGGCATTGTCAAGGGAAGCGTTAAACACAAATCCAACCAGCAGCGAAAAAAACTCCTGAGTTTAAGGAATAAAAATATAGTTGATGGTGGTTTTCATGGTTTGGAGAGTTCAGGAGAAAAAACTGCTGGCGGCAGACATTCGACCGTCAAGAAGGGTGGGGGGGGGTGGGGGGTCGAACGGTATCGAAGATTATCGGATGTCAACTACCTTCATGAAGTTGGGAATAGTTAAAGTAGAGGCGTTGAGGAGCAGCTGTCGCTGTTGGCCAAAGAAATTGTCCATGGTGAGACCGGCCATAGTGTTCAGAGACCACAAACGCCATCGCTACGGTACAGTCGATCAGTGGATTCAGCACCCAAAATTTGTGGGAGCTTTTCTGAACGCAAAAATCGACTAATAGTTCTCTTAAATAAAGGAAAATTTTGCAGAGTTTTCACACTCATGGGTAGTTTATTCCAAATAGCAATTGCATTTACAGAAAAGAACCGACGATAGTTAACAGTACGTGCCAGAGGAAGAAATAAAAAGACCTTACGGTGACTGTTACGTCGTGGGTGGAAATGATGACTTAAAGAGGTGAGTGGGTTAGATGTGTGATTATTTAAGAGTTTAAATAGCAAAAACAGTCCCTTTTGTAATCTACGGAACCATAAAGGATCAAGGCTCGTAAGCCGGCAACGTTCTTGTTAAGACAAATGTCGGTGTTCCGGAGTTAAAATTCTCTTGGTAAAAAAGTGGTTAACGGATTATATTTTCTTCCGCTCAGTAGCACGCATGAGGCTAAATAAAAACGAACAGTATTCCTGACCAGGTCTAACGTACATGTTGTAAGGCGCATTCTAATGTCCCTAGTTTTAAAGTTTCGGTGGATAAACCCGGTCGTTCTACGTGCTTTGGAGACTATCAAGGCACAGTGCTCCGAGAGATTGAGACTCTTGGAGTATGATACACCAAGATCCTTAATAACCCCAGGCACATTTATGGCGTGACCTTCGATACTTAATTGAGGTTGGCGGTCGTCGCCAACCACCATGACTGAGCACTTATGCCAGGAAAGAGAAAGGCGCCATGTGCGGCACCACTGGGCAAAAGCCTGTAGATCGCTCTTTAGGAGCTCAAGCACTAGGTCATGATCTGCCTGCTTATATCGATATGCAACTTTAAGATCATCGGCATACATGAAAGGCTTACTATTCTGAAATAAGTCGGGTACATCATTAACGAAAAGGCAAAATAAAAGCGGGCCGAGTACACTACCCTGAATGACTCCACTACTCACCCGTGTGGGGTTAGAGATAGTATTGGAAATCTTAACACGTTGTGTACGAGTGTCCAGTTAAGAGGTTATAAAATCATCTTATCTTTGATCAATGTCTCCAAGATCTTCGAAACTGAAGGGAGCGTGTTTATTGGCCGAAAGTCATCAAATGACGAAGATTTGCCGTGCTTAGGAGTGGGCAAAATGTGTGATTCCTTTCACAAGGTAGGATAAGTTTCACTTTGAAGAGCAAGATTAAATATCTTGCATGAGAAGGATGGGAAAATCGTATTTGCATCGGCTTTTAAAATGCTTACTGGGACACCATCAGGGCCTGGACATCAACGCCTATTCGCAACAGTCACATCCCACAGAGTGAAAGTTATAGTTTCTAGGACTGCCCCAGTCAGTGCCTGGATGGTCGGAAGCGGAGTTTTCGAGTCTTCAATGAACGTTTTGGACAGGAAATCATTGAAGCTATCAGCGGTTAACTGGGCATCAACTATGGGATTTCCGAGATCGGCTCGGAGGATGGGAAGCTGCGTCTTTCGGCGAGTTCGTATTTTTCTAGAGAAAAGTTTCGAGACACTTAACGAATGGTTTTCGGTAAACTGGATCTCCTCGGCTAGCTGTTCTTTTTCGGACAATCTCTTAGCCCGCTCAAAAATATCACAAATCAAGGGCAGGACTGAAATTTCGTTCTGAAGATGGAATCGACGATAAAGTCTGCGCAATCTGCGACGAAAGGGTAAGGGTAGGAAGACCTCATCCCCAACATTAATAATTTTCTTACGGGGGACAAAACGAGAAATAAGCGGACCCAAAATTTCGTACAGTTTTGCAGTGCAAACATTTACATCCGAACTAAGGAAGAAATCAGTCCAATCGTAGGAATTAAGGTGTGTTAATAATTCGGTTGAGCGAGTTGATCGGAAATCGCGGAAAAAGTTATACTTTGGGGAAGACGTTTTGTCAACCTCGAATTCCAACGTTGAAACAACTATGCCATGGTCTGAGCCCCGAGTGGGCCTAGGGATGACACTGACGATGGCATGCAGCCTCTACAAAAAATTAGGTCAAGTATGCTTGATCCTCAGGTGGGAAAATCGACAACCTGAATCCACATTCCAACATCCGCAGCCTCAAGAAAGTCTTCGAACCTTCTGGAACCTGAAGGCGCAGACCAGCGGACTTCAGGGAGATTAAAGTCGTCCGCAACCAATTGATACTTAAAGCTTAAGTCGGTCGCAGCATGAAATGCCTGTGACAGTAAACGATCAAAATTGTCGCTGGCGTTGGGAGGGAGATAAACTCAGCCAAAGCGTAAGGAGAACTTATTTTTTAGAGCAACCTGGAGCCAGCAGCTGCATTCTACTGCGGAAAAATGCGGGGGGTCGAGCGGCAAAAATGTAAGTGTTTGCTTGACGTAGACGCAACTGCCCCCCACACGGCTATGTTGGCGATCATGTCGAATGCAATTATAGCATAGAAACGAGAGTTCAGAATCAGCTACGGAGGCTGATGCCCATGTCTCAGTTACTAAAACAATATCCGGACAATGGACGAACACCAGAGTCTGAAGCGAAGGCATCTTATTAAGCAAGGATCTGGCATTTAAAACAAAAAGTTTGAAGGGAAAGGCTGTATGTTTCTGAGGGAGGTGGGCTACATCGTCCAGTGCTGGTCTGCCCAAGGAGCAAACGGTCGGGATGTAACCATCCGGTTCTGCAAAATATTTGTGACATCAAAAATGGGGTAGGACTTGAAGGAGGGAATGACGGGCAGGTAAACTGTTAACCATTGATAACTAACTCATTTTCGGCTGGAAATCCGCGAGCCAGATACTGCAACACATTCCCGCCGGAACGAAACTGAGGATCGGATGAGTTAATTGATCCAGTATGGACACTAGCATGAGGAATACATTGGTAAAAACGGTCGTGGTGGAAACAAGTAAGGGAGTGGGGGACTCATTGCTTCCATTGGAACAAGAGTTCTATTAAAAGGCGGGAAAATCGGCATATTCGGCCTAACTGCCTCGATATGAGGGCTAGGGGCAGTTGGGAACACGCTACGTTTTGAGTCGAGGTAATTGAGACACTGTTAGCCGATTGTGGAGGAAAAGATTTTATAATGGTGCTGGATTTATCGGGTGTCCGGGTGGCTGAGACAGCAACTGGATTTGCCTTTGACTACGCACATGCTTAAGCTTACTAGGGGTTGCTGTGGGAGTCGTTAGGGGCGTTGTATACCAGACGTGTTGTTGCTTCTAGAGATCTCAGCATCAATAGTAATCGAATTCCTTACGGTACTGACTATGTCGTGACGTGCAGAGGCCGCAGATAGGGATGTAAAGGACTTATTCAAACGGACAGTAGGTGTCATTATCCTGGCGTTGGCTTTTGCCGATTTTAATTTATTCAATTCAATTATTTTTATTAAAGACCCGTCGGGGTCTCATCAAAGCAAGTAAAAATAAAGTTACATGCGAATTTTAGACGAGGTAGGCAAAATCTGTACAAAGTGCAATACATAGTTTTTGAGATAAGAAGTCCGTTAAGCAAAATGAAAAACGAGGGGTGAAAAAAAAACTTCATAGCAAAATTTATAAATGATTGTATTAATTTAACAGGAGAAAAAAACCCCTCAAAAATAGCATCAGAAAAATGCAGGGAGGACTGGCCTGCATGTGGCGGTATAGAATGGAATATAGTCGGACATCAACATGGCCGAAATAAATGTCAACTGTATATGGCATTGTGTAACGGATTTCACAAAATGGTACGTAGGCGGGTCGGTCAGGACTGGCCTGTATGTGGCCTTGAGTATGATAAATAAGTGGCGAAATTGAAAACCAGTCTCGAGCTGCTAGGAACCTAGATGCGGTCGGTTTCATTCAACCGAGTCCATCCGAGCATGGTTGAAGGGAGATGCGACCAGACTACTAGTATATGGCGAATATAGAAGGCTTTATCAAAATCGCCGATGGAGCGCATTCTGTAAGGGCACGATGACAATCAGTCTCGAGGCGACAGGAACCCAGATGCGGTCGGTTACATTCATCCGAGTCCAACCGAGGATGGGGTAAGGGAGATGCGACCAGACTACTAGTATATGGCGAATACAGAAGGTTTCGCCAAGAGCATCGATGGTGCGCATTCTGTGAGGGCACGATGCATGAACTGAAAAATTGGAATAATTAACATTTCTGGTGAGGGATCTTAGGATGCGAGACTACTCACAAAGGAAGGAAATGTAAGCGAGTACGGAAATTTAATGGCGGCATACTAAATTCCCGGTGGCCCTTTCTCAGTGTCATAGAAAAAGTTGTCTGGGAAGGATGAGGAAAATAAAAGTTTAATCGAGTCAGTATTCAGATAAAGGCGTAGCCTTCTCTTAAGGGTGTGTAGATTTTCTGAAGATCTTATATTTATTGGAAGGTTATTCCAGAGGAAAGTATACCTGGAAGCGAAAAAAAGGGAGCGCTTAGAGGTGGAGGACGCTGGAGGAGGTATAATTAGAGACGAATTGCGAAGATTGTATGGGCGAATACTAGGGGTAAGTGCTGAAATCGGAGGAAAATTTGAACTATGATTAATGCGAAAGAGGAGACAGAAGCCCGCTTCTAGTCTTCCAACTCATAAAAATTTTAGGCTAATTAGCTGGCATCTATCTGAGTAGGAGATATTGGGATGTTCCCTATCCAAAAGTTTTTTTGAAAAACGTCTTTGGACATTTTCAATTTTTAATCGACTAGCTTCATTCATCAAACCAAAGAATGGGTAACAATACTCGAGAATGGGAAGAACAAACATACGATAGAGCCTTAATTTAATTTCAGGAAGATAGAAATTGTAAGAAATAAAGCCACAAATCTGGGCAGCTTTGGCTGTAATTCTGTCAGCGTGCGGCGAGAGATCAAGATTACTAGTGTAGTTTAAACCTAAATCCTTGATGGTGTGTGCCTTGAAAGACCACTGGTTGGGGTAGCCTATCAGGTCCAAAGCACATAAAGCGATATTTAGACGGAGAGAATTCC